ACTTGCTGAGCAGCGCTTTGGTTCGTACGAAGATGTGAAAAAATGGCTCGATGAATGGTTCGCGGCAAAGGGGGAAGATTTTTACTGGCGTGGTATCCACAAATTGCCCGAAAGATGGGAAAAATGTGTAACTAGCAATGGAGCATATTTTGAATAAAGCTCTTTTTATCATTCTTCCGAATTTAACGTGTTTTTTTTTGGAAACAAAAAAACCTCATTTCATACTTGTACACCTGGTACGTAACAATGCCCAACCGCTGTCGCGTTCCTGGAACTCTTCGAGTAATGTCAATGTGGACTTGATGATATGCTGCTCATAACACTCGCGCAAATCGGTGTATCGATATATTCTCAATGTTTTTTGTAATTACGCTCTTATTAGCACGTTTGTTTTTCGTCGCAAACTCGCCGTTGAACGTGATGTTCACTTTTACACTATCGAGTCTTTCTACAGCGTTTCATACACGCTCGAGCACTATTTCTCTCGCGTCTTCCAAAAATAGCCGCGGCTCAATGTAATTCACGTTGACCACAGCACCCATCAATATACTGCTTTCAAACGCGGCGTCGATCTCTTGCCAGATGAGAGATTTTTCATCGCGACTCGATACCCGTCACCAACGTGCACGAAACGTCACTCTAATTGTGTCTTTGCACCCGCGAGTCGCGTAATCCTCGCCACCACATATTGCCTGTGTCCAACGGCGAGGCGCGGACGTTTGGTATAACAAAGTTCTTCGAACCGCTCGATGCACTCGTCGCATCGACGCGAAACATTCCACCAGAGTAGCGATCTGCCCGCACTGCTTCATCAGTTAGCGTTCCACTCGCTCATTATTTTCCATGTCTTTATTTTTTTTTCTTTAGATCACGTCACACGGAGCACTTGCACATGACTCGTTCACACACGTTGCAGTACTGCGACATATCTAGAATTTTACAACGTTCTAACACTTTTTCATTATGTTTGTCTGCGAAAATGCACTGTTCATACTCAAAGGATTGATCGTCGCATTTATCGAAAAACAGTTTTAGTGCAAGATCGCGATCACGAAACTCTATCCATATATTGTCAATAATCAGCAGTTCGACTTTCATGTACTTTCACTTACCTGCGGGAATGCTAATACATATGCATTAACTTTGGCTCTTATCTGCGATTTTTTTCGCCTAATAATATTCGTCCTTTATTACATTGACATTTCTATTCCATCAATGTCTCTTTTCATACTCATCGTTCTCGTAACATTTGTCTCATAACCGTGGGTACACTTTCTATCGCGCGAGTAAAGACCAGTCAGAAACGAGCTCTCTGATAACTATTTCATGTTTCTCACCACGTATACCTAATTCTCGATCACGTAAAAATTGCACTGACGATATTTGTATACCCATGTCTCTTTTTTGCGGATTACCGAGAACATACAACACATCATCTACGTTACAGCCTTTCCAATAGTTTTTCAATGTGTGCAATGTGAGCACTTGTTGCACGGAAATATAGTATACATTGACACTCTGCAATTTGTGCAAGACCGACCGTCTAGCGCATCAATATAATCGATATCGTGCTTCCTTACAAGATACATTCTTACAACACCGGTGTCAGCCAAACGGATTATGCATGTTGCACATACAGTTAAAGCACTACCCGTTGTAGCACTGGATCATGCAGTGTTTAGTACGGCCGTTCAGTGCGCGGATTTCTGGAGATAGCACAAATTTTTATGCGTGATCCGTATCGTGCTCGCTCAAATTGCTAACATAACCAATATCGTCGGATAGCACTTCTTTGTCGGAATCTTGGTCCATTATTTCTTCAAAATCTATTTCTTCTATCACTTAGAACACTTCGACTCTAATATTCGCGAACTGTTCCAGATCCGTGTTTCTAATATACTCGATTAGTTGGCTATGTTCTTAACGTTCCTCACGATGGTTAGCCATACTTCTCACGCTGCTTTTATTGCGATCAATTCGTTCGTCTTCCAGGACATCAACTGAGGTGTTGAGCACTTATGAGCTATTATATATTTCGTTACGTCCAATAAACTCCACAATTTCTTCGTTTCGTGAAAATTTCGACAGAAATAGTCGTTAGGACAAAGCGCGAACATAAAACTCAAGCATTAACGGTCACCGATCGGTGAGCGTGACAATAACGTTTTAAAAAACGTGTCATTAGAAATCTTCCCAACGATATTGGAAGCACAAGCAAAAACATATTATAGATCCTCAGAATCGCCTGATCCATGGCAATAAAATTTACAACAAAGGTTACAAACCATGTAAAGAAAATCCTATTTAAATACGATCGATTTAGTAAATAGAAAAAATCTAAATGTGGATCAGAAATCATGTGTAGATAAAAACTCATATTTCCAAACGCGCAAAAACCAGTTGAAGGGCGTTTTCTCGTCAACAACAGAAAGCTGGTAAAATAAATGTAGGATCGCAAACGTAGCTTTTAATTTATTATATTGTCGATTGTAAAATTTAAGTAAATACTGTCTAGACGAGAGAACGCAAGTTCCAGTAATAAAAGAGAAATCGACGACAAAAAAGGGGTGTGTTCGTACTTGGAGTACTCGCTTTTGTGAATACCTGCACATCCTGTCTTCCACATTTACTGTAGAAGAGTTATGCTTTTTTTGTTTTGCCGAAACTCGGCGTTTCTCTTAACGCGTCGCGATGTGTCACCGATCTGATAGTGTATATAAACAGTGTATATAATTTTTTTTCATTTAATCGTAAATTTCGAATACGAGCAATAAGATATGGATCGAGTAAAAGAATATATACGAAGAAAATCGATCGAGCGCAAGGGGTATTGTTCCTTGTCACCCGGTCCGCCAAGTCCACCACTATCGAGGGACAAAGCGAGATATTGGGAAGTCCAGGTGAAAAAGCATAAAAATTGTCAACATATTTCTCATCATCAACGTCATCAATGCCATCGAAATGTAAGTCATAAAGTATCGCATTTAAAGTCATTACTGCTAATGCATTTTATACTCTGTTGAAAAAGCGAATAGTCATTAAAAAAAAATGTCTTTGTTCTCTATTTCCAGAAAGCGCTGCTAGCGATGTTGAAGCCGTCAATCGCATTCGAATACTGTTGAACGCGGAAAAAAAATGTAATAAAATATGAGAAAAAAATCAGTGTAATAAAATGTGAATAAAAATTTTTCTCGTTTCGCATTACTACATATGTATTTTCGTTTACTCCCCACCCTATACCTCGCGCTAGTAAAAACTATGTTGAAAAAATTGAGTCATAAAAAAAAGGACTTTTACTCTATTGATTCATTTCTTCTGTCCTTTCTTCCTTTACACTCATATCACATTACTTGCTCCGACATCATCGCGTTCTCTTTCTCTAACATGCGAGTCCTTATTACCTACGCATTTTTTGTAATATCTAGAATTCTATAGTTCTATAGTCTGTTCCCCCTCCCCGCGCCAACGAGTACCGCGTCCCGCGCTCCCCTCTAGCCCTGTGGGTTAGAATCCCCATAGTATAGCTACTCACATTGAGCCAGACGTGGACCCCGGGAATATACCACCCAGAGTGGTTCCCCGCCTTCCTCAGCCGGACATTTCCCGAGCCCCTGTGAGGATCCCAACACGGCTTATCAAAGTCACAGGGAAGTTTCGCATTACCACTATTGAAACCACGCAGTTAAAAATAAAAATCATCGGTTCTCTTTGCACCATCTCCTTCCCGGTTCTCCTAATATTCTCTAGAGGATGACAACACTTATATTGGCGAGGGCGACCCGTCACGGTCACACTACATGATGTTTTTCTAGGACGTCACTGATAGAGCTTAAAAAAAAGAACAGAAGTGGTTGCGCGATAAATTCTTTTCTGACAAACTGCCAATCACTCTCACTCATAAGACTCGAGGCTCCACTCCACGCGCGACTCTTCTTTTTTGAACAATATTTGAATAACTTTTAAACAACTTTTGAACAATTTTTTTGGTCAACTTTTGTACAACTTCTGA